AAATATGAAGAAATTTAACAACTAGAAGAATGGACATCAAGAAGAATATCCAATATATTATTTGATTCAGATATTGATAATTGGAATGAAGATACATCAGTAATTAATCAAAGAATAAAGAATAAATAACATATAATAATTATTATTGAAGATACATATGGAAATAAATTTGGAGGATATGTTAATGTGAAAATTGATAAAATTGGTTATATAAATGATTCAAATTCATTTTTATTTTCATTAAAATCAAAAAGAAGAATACAAGGAATGATGAAATTTGATATTAAAAAACAACGATATGCATTTTGTTTATGTCATCAATCATGTAATTGGTTGTTTGAATTTGGAGGTAGGTATTGTGATATTCATGTTTGGAAAGAAAATAATAAAAAAGATTCACTTTGTAATCGATCTTCATTTTCATATAAAGGAATATCAAATACACTTTGTTGAAAATATCATTTCACACCACAACGAATCATTGTAATTGAAATAAAATGAGTTTTATTCATTATTATTTATTTGAATTATAAAAACTAAAAAAGAATATAAAATAAAATCAATAAATGAATATGAACATTTTATCTATCAATGAATGAAATAGTGAATATAAAAATGTTCATATTTCATTCTTGTTTTATTTTAATTGAAATATTCATATTCAATGTGTTAATTTAATAAATAATAAAAAGAAATAAGAATAAAAGATAAATAAAAATATAATAAAATATTTATTTTATTCTTTTTTATTTATTTTTTATTTTATTTATATTTTTTTATATTTATTTATTTTATTCTTCTTCTTTTATCTTTATATCTATTATCTATTTCTTATTTTATTATTTATGTTATATTCTTATATCTTTTTATTCTTATTTTATATTTATTCATTATTATTCATTTCATATTAACATTGTTAAATATCAATACAACATATAATAAATAAATGATATAAGATAAACAACAATAAATAATAATAATAATAATAATAATAAAATATAAACAAACAATATAAACAAATATAAAATAATAAAATATCATCTAATATAAAATAATATAAAATAAGATGATTATATCTTATTTTATTATTAATTCTTCTTTATATTCTCTTATTTCACTCTTTATTTATTTGGTGATTTGTTTATATTTATTTTATTTACATTAAATTTGATTTGTTATTTTATTTATTCATTTTATATTTATTATTTTATTTACATTATTTATTATTTATCATTTCAATTTTATTGATATTTTCAATAATTTATATCATTTCTTCTTTTATCTTCTCCTTTCTTTTTTATTCATTTTACTTTATATTTCTTCATTTCTATTATTAAATGAAATGGTATGATTATTATCATCATATAATGATAATAAATAAACTAAATTAAATATTATTTTATTCATTTTCATTTATAAAAATATTTCAATCCATTGTTGTTATTTTATTCATTTTCTCTTTTGATTATTTCTCTCTTCAATCTTCTTTATTTAATTTCAATAATAATATTTCAAATTAATTTAATTTTAAATTAAATAATAAAACAGAAAGAGAAATGATTGAATTAAAATATAAATAAAATATTAAAATACAACATATTAATAATGATAGAAGAAAGTATAAAAGATAAAAAGATAAATATTATATTAAATATAAATTTCTTATAAATTATATTTTGATATTTGTAATTTGAAAAATAAATAAAATAATGATAAACAAATACATCATTAAATTGAAATCAAATAAATAGATATTTTAGAAGATTGATGAAGTCAAAATTGATAGATAAAACTACTATAATCAATGTATTGAATTCAATTAATATTAAAAAGAATTCATTTCTCCATTTAAATAAAATATAAGATAGAATAATATTCAATATGTATAGAAAAGATAAAATATTAAAAAATGAATAAAATACCACACACTTTATAAATACAAGATATCAACAATAGAATACATTCTATTATCTTGTATTTGTCATAAGAAATCATAAATTGAGAAACATGACAATATTAGTATTATCATATTAAATAATAACAAAATATATATGAAATAATCAATATATGAAATAAACATATGAAACAATGTTCAAATACAATGATATCATATGATATTGAATAAACAAATAATATCAAAAAGTGAATGATAATAACATAAAATATCAGATATATATGTAATAAATAAAAAGAATAAAACTGATCTAATAATTGAATGAATATTGTTGCATATCACAATATTAATGGAGGCTATTTGAAGAAAAGAAATAAGTATAAAGAAATGAAGAATATTCTAATTAAAATATAGAAAATAAAAGATGTCAAAATAATTACAGTATTAATTTCAATAAATTAATTAATGAATATAGAAAGTATTAAATTAATTAAAGAATTAAAAATAGAAATTGACATCATAAAAAAAATTAAAACATTGTAATTAAAAACATGATGGATGTGATGGAACATTGTTTCCACTACAACCAAACATATGGTGTTGAATTACATGACGAAGACTCATTGACAAGATTAGTCTCCGCTGATTTAGGAACAATAGACACAAGTTCTATTAATACTTAATTAATTCCTTTTTATTATTAAAGATTTATTCCTGGATAAAAATTAACTGAAAAGTTGGTGTTTTTCAGTTATAAACCAGTGCAGATTTCAAAGCAGGTTCTACACTGGGAATAAAAATTCTTCTTTCGTTTATTTCACATAAGAACTCATCTAATAAATGATTATTGAAAAAAAAAAAATCTTTTTCACAATAGTAGAAGAACTATAAAATTGATTTGAAAGAACTATAAATATTAAAATTTATTTAAAAATATGAGCAGTCGACGAGTTCGAGGAAAAAAAACAAGGTCTGCAAGTATTGCTATTAGTGAACAAAATCAAATACCAAAAACTGAACAACAAAAGAAAGTTGTGGAACGTTCAATAATGTGGGATAAAATATTACCTAAACCCGTTGGAGATGATCGTATAAAAGATAGTGTACCAACTCCAGAAACAAGATTGTTACCAGAAAACTTTTTATATGCCGATGAAAAAAAACCTAATTTATCGTTATTAAGAAATCATTTAAGTAGAGAAGGTGTACTTCATCCTGATTGTGCCAAACGAATTATCACAGAAGCAACAAAGATTTTAAAACAAGAACCTAATATGATTGAAGGGCAAGCTCCAGTAATTATTGTAGGAGATCTTCATGGACAATTTTATGATATGTTAACAATATTTGATGTAAGACCACCAGAGAATGAAGAAAACACATTTATATTTTTAGGTGATTATGTCGATAGAGGAAATTTTTCAACAGAAATTTTATTATATCTTTGTGCATGTAAAATTAATTATCCTCATCGATTTTTTCTTTTAAGAGGTAATCATGAAAGTAGAATTATGTCTGAAAATATGACATTTGCTGCAGAGTTTACTAGAAAGTATCAATCAAATGAATTATTAGAATTGGTTTATACTCTTTTTGATTCATTTCCTATTGCTGTTCGAGTAGGAACAAAAGAGTTAGGAGATTTCTTATGTTGTCATGGTGGAATTTCACCTGATATGTCCAGTATATGTGATTACAATTCTATTAATCGTTTTATTGAACCACCAAATAACGGACCTTTATCTGATATTTTATGGGCTGATCCATTAGATGAACCACCAGAAGAAGATTTAGATTCAGAATCTGCTGAAAATTGGTTAGATATAGATTTTATTGAAAATACAAGTAGAATGACTAGTTTTTTGTTTGGAGCAAAAAGTCTTATTCCATTTCTTGAGAATAATAACTTAACTTGTGTTGTTCGTGCACATCAAGTTATGGAAGAAGGATATAAACTTCATTACTTCTTACAAGATGTTGATGTTCCTCCATGTATTACAGTATTTTCTGCTCCTAATTATTGTGACATGTATCATAATAAAGGTAGTTTTATGAGACTTGAACCTGATTCTATTTGTTTTGAACAATTTGATGCAGTTGATCATCCAACATATCTTCCTAATATGCAAGATGGTATTTCATTTTCAATAGAAGCTTTAATGGATCAATTAGTTGAAGTTGTAAGTGAATTAATTCTTATAACAAAATATACAACTGATGGACCAAAAGAGAAAGAAGAAGATGCACTATTAGAATGTAAAATTAAAGAAATGATGAAAAAGAATTCTGAAAAAGATTCAACATATAAACGTCTTGCTAAAATAAGAAAAGAGTTTATGGAAAATAAAGAAAAGAACGACAGATTATTTAAAAGAGCATTAGAATTTGATAAATTCAATGAATCTAAACCAACATTTAGTGAATTTGGTATGAATAATCATACAACAAATACAACTAAAGATAGAAGAAAACGAGCCACTACCCTTACTAATTCAACACCAATGAAAAAAGAAATTATGCAATTACTTTAAACAAGTTCATCAATTTTTAATAAATTCTCAACTCCTCTTTTATTTGTTGGTTAAAATTTTATGAATTTTTAAATTATTAAAACTATAAAATTTAATAAAAGTTATTATAATATTAATTTAAATCTAACAAAAATTAAAACAAGAACTTACTATCTAAAAGAATATGTCACAAACTTCTATTAAACCTGCAACTAAAGCTGAATTTGAAGAATTTGTTAAAATGTGTACTACTCCAGATAAGTGGAATGAAGTTATAAAAACTGATAAAATTCAAGAATGGATGATTGATGGAGGAAGTGACACATTAATTCTTAGATTAACTTCAACTGATTTTGTAGGATCACTCAGAAACTGTATTTGATACATTACTTGATCCCGATTATCGTGGTATTGGGATATAACTTACTTAAAGAGAA